TGTGTTGTTCATTGAACAAAATCTTTAGTCAAATGGTGTCAAGTAGTACCTAAATTAAATGAAAGCAAAATTACAATCTCTCTCTAGATAATGGGAATAACAGGTAAATGTGTTGAGATGCCTTTGGAACATATACTTTGAAGAAATTATCTGGAAAATTGAATGAATGAGACACAAAGCCACTTTGTTTCTCTGTCTAAGCAAGGATTTTGGTTCACAAATCCAAGGATTCTGCTCTTCTTTTACTTTCATATTCCCTTTATATCCCTTCCAACCATATCATAGTTCAACAATCTGAATTTTTTGCCCTTTATTCTTTTGACATGTTCCGTGGGAGGATTGAATTGTATAATGGATAAAAATTTGAAATCTTGTTCAACATACATTCAATTCTTGAAAAAATTACAGCTGGTGATGCTCGGTACCCTTCTAATGTTACCGGTGCAGAAAACAATCGAAGTGCATCTTCTATTGTACAGACAAGCTCAAGAAAAAACTGAATGTGGAGCAAAAGAAATGGTTGTACAGTCGTCGAGGCTCTGCTACCTGCTCTAATACAATAAGGGAAATCATGATACAATATATGCACACGGGCAAACGACTACATCCAACAAGAGTATCACGAGTGAACAAAAAAAAGGGGTAAAAAAAGGGGAGCCTTAGCTGCCATTCCTAAGAATTTGTATGTTCCATACAGGAACGCATCCAAGATAACAAAGTATACACAATTCCCACAAAATATAGCATATATGTTCCTTGGGCCAGCCGTCTCCCTGGTATCATTTTCATCTTTATCAGAGAATGGATATGTAAAACAAATCTTGAAATGTCGATGATTACCGAAGAATAATCAAAAGAAGCTGCACCAAATGTTATAAATATATTGAATTCACCAAAGTAAAATTATAGATTCAGAATAAAAAAACATAATAGATAATGTTTCGGTAAAAATATTGCAATGAAAATGTTACCTGTAATTAGTCTTACAAAGATCTGCAAGGTAACTCAACTCATAATAAAAAACAAATCTCTCACAAAATGAAGAAATTTTGAAACGAAGATGATACCGTCTATGATTATCTATTATCACAATTAAATTGATAACAACAATGTAGCAAGAAACCTCAGTTTGAATTCAAATTTCCATATTTTCAGCCTTCGGAATTAATGTCATCCACTTTGCATTTGTTTGATGATGTCAGTTACAGATACCAAAAGGGAAAGTTTCATATACAGTAAAATTGGTCTTATTATGACATTATAAGTAGTAATTTCGATTAAAAAATATATGAAGTAGTATAAAATGAATATCTTTTATCTTTAAATTATTAATTATTAAGGCATATATGAATTTTCCCCCAAAAATTAAGTACTTGGGCTTTAGATATCTAAATAAAGTGTGGGTCAATTTATACGTATAGCGATT